ATCATATTTACTTTAACAATTAATGTACCAGGTATTCAAAATGAATACACATTTTTGCAAAACTGATATTTTAGAAAGGTAATGGGTCATGATAATATGAACTCATATTAAACAGAAAGTTTATACAGAACATTTAAACATTCACAATATGATATTTAATTAGTATACCATATGTTGGAGAGGTCCAAATTATTCAAATTGTATAACAAACCTGGGTAAAGTTACAAATAATTTACTTTTAACTTTCACTTCTTGTAGCAACATTTGTCAACGTGCAGAGGATTTTTTTGGACCCCAATACATTAAAATACAAGTGTCCTGATCCAGATGTAAATGGTAAGAATTTTTTAGAAGTCTTATATATGAAAAAAAAAAATTATTATAATAGTCAAATGCTCTTTAATAGAGCTATTCAGCATGTTCAGTGACACAGTTTTGTCATAATGATAAAGCCAGTGATTTCTTACTTTGTTTGGTACATAAAGAGCTGATTTTTGCTATTCTCTTGATCACTTGATCACACTAATTTAATTATCAACAGATCAAGTCTAAGTGTAAATGTGAATGATTTACCCTAGGACGGGGCCACAATGGCCAACCAAAGTTTTACATAGAAATGTATTGGAGAAGTTTTTAGCTCAAGTGAGCTTTTCTGATCACATTTTGTCCGCCATTTGTCTGTCTGTCCGTCTACTGTCTGTCTGTCCATCTGTCTGTCTGTAAACTTTTCACATTTTTGACTTCTTCTCAAGAACTGCTAGGCCAATTTCAACCAAACTTGCCACAAAGCATCCTTGGGTGAAGGGAATTCAAATTTGTTCAAATGAAGGGCCACGCCCTTATTCAAGGGGAGATAATTGGGAATTAATGAAAATAAGGTGGCATGTTTTAAAAATCTTCTTCTCAAGAACCACTGTGCCAGGAAAGCTGAAACTTATGTGGAAGCATCCCCAGGTAGTGTAGATTCAAGTTTGTTCAAATCATGACCCTTGGGGGTAGGGCGGGGCAAAAATGGCTGACCAAAGTTTTACATAGAAATACATAACAAAATTCTTTAAGAATCTTTTTAAGAATAGCAAAGCCATGATTGGTCATACATGTATTTATGTGGAAGCATTCTCGGGTAGTGTTGATTCAAGTTTGTGCAAATCATACCCTCTCGCCTTTTAGGAATGATTGGGACTACTTTGGGTTTAAACTTTATCAATAATAAACTAATTTCTGCTTTTATGCTAGCCACAGTGCTCAGGTGAGTGATATGGCCCATGGGCCTCTTGTTTTAATTATAAACTTAATATTCTTAAAATCAGTGTTGATGACAGCAATCATTTTGTCATTATTTTCTTACTTAGACCTTTCCAAAGATCAAACTTCACTTTTCCTCCATTTAGCGGTTACTTATGCATGTACAAAAAATTATTCTTTCTGTCATCATATTTTACTGATATATACGCAGAGAAGGAGGACATATTTCTTTTCATTTCATGGTACATTTTGTTTCATAGGTTATGCAGTTTTTCCAAGAAAGCAGGAACAATGGAGCAGAACTGAAAAGCCATTTCAATAAAACCATGCTCTGACTGATCAAGTGAAAGATGATACCAGTTGTGAAAGTTGTCGAAACACTACAGCAAGCAAAGAGAGTAGTAATCATCAATACATGTATAACTCCTGTTAATATTCATCAGACCAAAAAGAATTTTCAATTTTGAAATTTGAAAAATATTTGGCAGTTGTAAATCTCACTTATTTTACAAATTCAAGATCAAGTAAGAACATCACAGCAAATTTGTATCCTACTAAAATGCTCAAAGCATTATGGAGTTTCACAATTTACTGATACAAACTGCGAAGTGTCCTATCAGGAACAGGCATTGGTGGAGTTCAATACATGTAAGAGCCAACAGGAAAATGAATTGGTTTGGCTTCAAAATCCAGAAAATGATTCTCCCAGAAAGTGAACAATTTCTTGTCTATGATATGTGAAGATTGTTAGAGAGCAGTAAATGTCCAGATTGTGTTTTATGGCAGAAGAAGAAAGTAATGAGTGCAAATGATGAAATTTTATAAACAAAATAAATAGCTAAGTAGTTCCAAAAAAGGAGGACGTATTGTGTCACATTCATCAAAAAAAAAATTTTCAAGTCATTTCACCTTCCCCCAGTAAAAAGAACTTGTCTGAAATATCTATATGTTTGTGTAGATGATGTTGAAAATTTGCAGAAATTGTTTGTACTTTAACACTCAAATGAATATGTTGATCAAATGGCTAGTATGATGAATAATGTGTTCACCTGGTTCACTTGTGTAAATATTGACCAAGTATGTATACATGCATTAAAAGTAATTATTATTTTCTTTATTGTTCCAACTATCTGAATGGCTCTAACTGGATCACATAATCAAGTATAAAAAGTGTTATTATTTTTCTTTACTGTACCAGCTATTTGATTGGCTCAAACTGCATGGATAACATGATCAAGTATAAAAAGTGTTACAGGCTGGATGTTTCTATTTTAAAAATTTATAAACCTGCTGTTTCTAAATTTGAAAACGTTCTTCTGGAAACAACAATAGTGCTGACATCACAATAGTCTTTATAGACTGGATGTTTCTAAAAACAGATACTGCAGCTGGTTTTCATTACTGTGATGTCATAATACAATGACATAACAATGCTTTGTATGAGAAGTTACTGGGTATTATAAAGAAGAATTTTAAGACATTTCTTATTAACTAATAAAAAATAATAAAACAATTGTAGCCTTATGATTCCATATAATCCCTCGATATATATACCTTAGAGAAAGCATATTGACCTCGCACTTCGTGCTCGGTCGATATGCTTTCTTTAAGGTTTATATATCGAGGGATTGACCTCATCAAAAGGCTATAATTGAATAATAAAGGTTTATACTTAAGTTTATCCATTTAGAGGTTTATAAAGAATTCATAGCCAGTCCCCCCCCCCCCCCCCCCCGGCCTCTTTTTCCATGTATTTTTTAAAATTTAAAGTCATTAAGTATTAAATTGAGAGCTATGTTTGTTTAAATTCTGTAATACAGATAGGAAGAACTCTAGAAAATAACTTTTTTTCGTTTTGGACATGTTTTGAGCTATTTTTTGAGTAGCGCTAATTGTATCCTTGAAATTATTTATGTGAAAATTACACAAACTTTGACTTTCAATATTTTCTAAAGTGTACATTGGCCAAGGGTAATTTTTTCATATTTTGTTAACATAGGTATTCTTAACAATAAGCATTACAATTTATTGGGTTAAAACATCCCCCCTTTTAACTAGAATAGTTTCAATTCCACTAAAAAGTGTCACTTTTTCCAAATTTTGGAACATTGCCAATTTCATGACCTATTTGCACTAAAACAAAATTAATGTCAATCATTCTGTCTATGTATTTAAAAAGAACTAACCTTTATTCTTTTACTACAAACAGAATATTTGAATAATTTTTAAAGTTGCAATTTTTTTCTCTCTTCAAATATGTCTAAAATGTTAAAAAAATACCCCAAATTTTCTTGCATAAGAGCTATTTTTAGTAACAGGCCATAAAACGTATGTGGGTTTGATTAGCTCAGTAAAAAATTGTCTGATTTCATTTTATGCATAGTAGATTTAGCTCATAAAATTTGAAGGCAATCGGAGAAACCTGCTTTCGGACTAATTTGCATGCTTTTCTCGGAGACAGGCTGTTAAGATTATAACATTGCGTGACTGTGCATACAAAATAATAAAAAAAAACATCTTTATCAGCTGTTTATATCAAAATTAAATCTGCCAGGTTGCACTTTACGTTCAGAAAATTCTAAATACTTATACAAGCCAGATAGATATAAGAATTATAAATCCGCAGTATTCTTTGTAACTATTAATCTCTGACTGTGGGCTGTCTGATGAGCATCCACAGATTTATAACTACATTGTATATATAAATATATATGCATATATTTTGTTTTTATCTCTCAAAACGTTTTTAAGTGGTCCACTTAAACAATCAAAAACTGTTTATTATAATCAATATTATATTCAATACATGTAGGTAACTTTTCAAGTTCCAAAAAAATTATGTCTTGTTAAGGTCAACTTTTTTCCCCCGTACTTTAGAGTTTTAGTAGAATAATGACGTTGCGAACGCTGTTGGTGTCAGTTTTGATAATGACGTTATTTTACGTAAAGTTCTAAAAAATTAATCTGACGTTATTTTTTGGCTAACATTTGTTATGAAGGAAAAATAAAATCCCAGTAAATAACGCAGTTCATTCGGAACGTGTAATAAAATTGTCTGCTCTTTTGCATGCATATTGCGGGAGGAAAACTTGTTCGACATCGCATTTCAAAGAACTTTACATGCTTTTTATTTAATTGAAATAAATTCAAAACAATTCTATATCATATATCAGTAGGCCCTAGGACCTGTCCTTTCTTTTCAGTAAATTGTACAATTGTAGATACTTATGGCACGCCATATTCACAAAAATTAGCTAAACATAGTTTCACGGTCGATAAACTAGGTTTATCGTTTGTAAACTATAGTTTATGGACTGTAAACTATAGTAAACAACGTTAATATATATTTTACATAACCATAGTTAACACGATAATCTACGTTTCAGAACCGTGAACTGTACTTTACACCGAACACAATCATCTGCAATTGCAGAACATAGATTATCTGATAGATTTGTAAACTACGGTTTACAACTCTTAACTGCAGTTAACGATCTGATAATACGTATATTGAAACTCCCATCCTGGATGAATACAGAATTACAGCTCTGCGTACAGGTGACTCCCTGACTCTGATACACCACAGTAAAACACCCTGCTAACAAATTGCTTCATTATCGGCAATAATTGCTATCCATTATATTCACCATTTTATAAAGTTAAACGGGATAAAAATCGCTTCACTATAAGCATCAATTCATTACAAGCGTGTTTGCTATGAGTGCGTTTTACTGTAATAGAGTACAACATTCCAATTTCTATGACTTCAGTTTATTTACTGATTACAGAGAAGATATCGAATTTTATTGGTCTTTTGATGGCATTTATCACGCATTACATGCACCAATGACATATATTTTGAAAAAAGAAATGACTGACACAACTACTAGTACATATTATTTTAAATAAACTTCCAAATATACAATGTTTTACATTTTCTTTTAATGGAATCCTTTTACTCGGTTTTGCTTTATACGATTTAACAAGAAATATACATCTGATAAAAAAAAATACTACATATGGGTACAAACTTGGGTAGCACTAAAAATACTTGAAGATTATGGCATCTCTTTGCAATGACCTTGACCTCTCCTCCCCCAGTTCTCTGTTTATGTTTGGGATTCAGCCAAAAAAACTAATCCACAACTTCACTTCAGATAAAAAAAAACACAAACATCAATCAGTGAAACCTAAGTTTGTCAAGAAAATTACAAATCCATTCAACGGTACAAAAGTCAATGCGTAAGGGAAAATGATGATGCTTATTAGGTAAGACGTCTAAAATGAACATAAAAAATTGTTCATATCTTCATAAAAATTCCTTACTTTCACAAATATTTCAAAATCTGGTTATTGATTCTATAGTTTTCAGCAGTTTAAATCAAGTATACAAAAGAGAAAGTCATTTCTTTGAAAGAGTTAACAAAAGCATTTTGGACATAATTTGCATAAGAACACCAGTGAATTGTAAGTTAAAGGGTCAAAAGTAAAAATTGAATCCATGAGAGCTACTCGTGATGACACTGGTTTCCGTGAGAATTTGAGGGTGGGAGGCCCCAGGGAGGGGTGGGTGACCTCTAGTTCTTGGGGTCATCCTTGTGTCTGACGACCAGCACGGGGACGTGAGCGTGGTGCAGAATGTAGTCGCTAACGCTGCCGAGGAAGGTACGGCGGATCTTCCCCATCCCCCGGGTCCCGGTCACGATCAGCGCAGCGTTCTCGTCCTTTGCCACCTGACAGATTACCTCCCCTGGGCTGCCTCCGATACTCTTCACCTTCCCGCCAATCTGTATGAACGGAAAAACAGACAGTTATAAACACTTTCTACAAGTGATGCATAAATATATAAATATGATTATAAAATCTATAGGTTAAATTGAACACTTCTTCAACCATAAAGTCAAATAACCACATTTCTTTTCCTCAAGAACCAAAACATTGAACCCATTAAAACTTATTCTAAAAATTTTAAACATTAAATCAACAAAAATGTCTGGACTCCAAATTTTGTTCTTATTCAATCCAAGGCCAGAGTTTTCAGATATTTGATGACATTAACAGTCCTTTTATCACTTCAGAACTTCCTTTTTCTCCATTCTTTGTCTATTTTTATTCATATCGTCACACTTTTTTTTTGGTAATGCTTTGTAGTTTGTTGCTAATAATTTCATGCACTAACAATTTTCTGCAGCTTTCACTATTTCAGACTTACCCACAATGCATCATAATTTCTACATTTTCATTGGTCACTTACCCCGTGGTCCTTCATCTGCTGACCTAGTTTCTCCAGCAATTCTTTGATTCTTTTTTCTTCCTCTTTCCACATGTCAGTCAGCACAGTAACATCTGCCATCACCATAGCTACAAACCAGAAAACAAAAGTAAATCACCATAGTAACATCTGCCATCATCATAGTTTCAAACAACAAAAGAAAAGTAAATCAACATAGTAACAATTGAAATAAGCATTGTTACAAACAGTACCATTACCAGTCAATAATATGGCATCTGTCAATACTGACATCACCATGGCTACATACAAGCGACACATATCAGTCAATCTAGCAAAAATCTGTCATCACCATAGTTACAAAAAAGACACATATCACTTAATATGTCATCATTTGTCATCACCATGGTTACATACATATCAAATGTATTTCAGTCAATATAGCAAAATCTGTCATCACCATGGTTACAAACAAGACACATGTCAGCAATATGACAACACCTGTCATCAACATAGAGCTACATTACCAAAGTTCTCAAACAAGAAAAGATGACAGTCAATTTGGAAATATCTGCTCTAGTATAGCTACAACACCATAGCTACAAAACTATAGCTACAACACCATAGCTACAGACAATAAAAACACCTCCTCTAACTACATTTCACAATATTTTTGGACTGTCAATGCTACCAAGTTACCAACAAAAAGTAGCTGATCTCCAAACCCAGCACTGCTGTAATTCTGTGCACGAGAGAAGCTAACAAGAAATAACTTTACAATGCTATTCTATTATATTTTAATTTCTGTTTATACAAATAGTGAATACAGATCTGTTACTGGTAGAACTAAGTGCGTAATTAAATCATGTTCACTGGACCAACGCCTACACTGTAGATCCATATAATTTTCCAGTGGAAGGCAAGAATAATTACTAGCAACATTTTGGGTTAAGTAAATGAATAGACTTCCACCGTCACAAAAGTTTGTTAAAAAGGAAGTCCTTGAACTGAAAAATCTTAAGTTTTGTTACAAAATTCATGTGACACTTGTATAGAGCAATCTTATTGTACTTAAACAGCAGGTTTACTGTATATATATATACAAAGTGACTGTTTACAACTTCACACTTCAGTTAACATTGTAAATGTACACATTAGTGCAGAGCTGTCTATGACAGAATACATTATAAACAGGTGTAAGGTACAAAACAATGTGGTATTTAAACAGCCGTGATGCATATATACAGTAAACAATTTCATGTTTTTTTTCCTCCTCAAAATGTATGTTTTATGTAAAGTAAAACAAATTTCAATTTATAATAAATCAAATTTATCAGAAATTCTTTCAAAAAGTTGGCACGACTGTTACAAAATGTCTTAGCATTCTTCATTTTTTGTTTGTTAAAATGACAGAATTTGAAGCACTGTGTCAACAGCCATTTATTCTTTATATCAAGAACATCAGAATTGTACTCAGATTGTGTCAATTTTTTGGAAATTATTCAATTGATACAATACAATGTGAAATGCAGGATTTCAGAAGGATTTAGAAACCTGTCAAAACCAAAATATTCCATGCACTTCATTTTTGGTACATTGAAAAAAAAGATAAGATTTTATATTAATTTATAATACTATAAAGTTATGTGTCTCAAACTGAGCAACATTTCAGTTCATTCCTAATGGCTCCATAATTCACACCACAAGTAAATACCATTAAAATGACACGATTCTCAAAATAGGCATAATAAAAGTGAAAAACCATTATCATGATAATATGGAAGAAAGTCAATAAGTGTCTCTACAACAAACATAATTGAAGCATATTTGATGGGAAAACTGATGAATTCAATTCAGAGTTTGTTTTATTTTGCTTTTTTACACAGATGCACTATCTGCTCTATCATGTGAAAGACAGCTACCATTCCTATTTTCAGTAAAATATTTCAATTTTTCAGTAGTCCTAGAGTCAAATTCTTGTTAGAATTTTAAAGAACAAATACAGTAAGTCCCTCCTTATCCCTGTGTAAGAGGACAGTGTACGATCTTACAAACACTGCTGAGTGGGAATACCTATATCGCTGTGACACACAAAGATAGCGCTGTGTACACATATTTTCTAAGGTCAATCTCCGACAATCTCAGCCACTCGAGGATTGCAGTGTCATAGTAAACCTTACTTATAAAAAATTATCGTAAACATAAATTTTTTTCCTACCCATTGGAAATGTTTTTTAAAAGTAAAATTGGGAAAAATAGCATCAAAAGAGAAAAAACGGAATTTTCTGTTATCAACAAATGTCAATTTATTTTTATGTTAATTCTAATCTCATTGACTATTATTCTGCATCTTAAAGAATAAACAACTAGCAATCACTGTTTTACATATCCATCTTATATTTTTAGGCTGCTTTGTGCTTTGAAGTTATCAATTATGTTTGGCTATCTACAACTGTCACACCTCTCTCCACATCACAACTGTGACTGAGTGTGTTAGCGCTATGACATGGCAGCTCCACCTCTGACTATATAACTTGATTGCTCTTTTGTTACTAAGGTTCTAGTTTTAAGATTTGTTGAGCTTTTATATAACACGTCGCTTAATCAAAAGGTTGAATCCTTTGTTCTCTAAATTTCCGTTTTTAAGTGAAATTTTAGTTTAAAGTTTTTAATTTTAAGTTCACTGAACCGTGACTGTATTGCTTTTTATAGGTACGAGCTATCTTTCTCGCTGTTTGAATTGTGTTGCCAAGTCGCTCCACAAATTGTTTTACTCAACTTTTCTACTTTGACTCTATTGGGATTTTACCGGTACGAGCTATCTTTCTTTTTGCTCAGATTGTGTTGTCAAGTCGCTCCACAAATGTTCCTACTGAGCTAAATATACTTTGACTTCAGTACGATTCCCTGTACGAACTATCTCTCTATTTGGTTGGATTGTGTTGACAAGTCACTCCACATTTTTTCGTACTCAATTAATATAGTTTCTGCACGATGTGTATTGTAAGGCCAAACACTGTTGGTGTGTCGGGTCGTGCCAAACATTTTCGAGTTAGAAGGGGCACGAAGGGTGGACGCAGGTTCATAAGACGTATCCACACTGTCTGTGTTGGGCGGCTGAGCTATGTGGAACATCAACTTGGGGTTAATAGAAATAATTTAGTGTACATCTTCAATGATACTCTCAACAATTCCTGTTCTATCGCAAAAGTTCCAAATGAAACATGTGGGACCTTCCCTATTCCAACATTGATTCAACACAGGACAAAGAGAATTGACAATACAAGCTGTCGAGATGGTTCGAATCTTTTGAAAATTGAAACAAGTAGAGTTCCAATAGCCAACTCGTCAGGAACTCTTTCACTATGTACTCTCAATTGTAGATCTTCAAGAAATAAATCAGTATCCATAAATGATTACATTCAGTCAAATAACATCGATCTCATGGTGCTGACTGAAACATGGCTAGGATCAGACACAGATAACGCCATTTTGTCTGAACTAACACCAAACGGATATAATTTCATAAATAAACCAAGGGTAGATCGAAGGGGTGGAGGCCTGGCGATTATTCACGAAAAACAGGTTAGTGTGAAACCTGCGAACAAAGATGCCAAATACACTCATTTTGAACATCTAGAGTGCTCTGTTGGAGTCAAAAACAACTTTATTCGCATCGCTGTTATATATCGCCCACCACCATCTAAATCAAATAAATTCAAGAATTCCGTTTTCTTTGAAGAATGGACCAACTATCTGGACAGTCTCGTGTTAATCCCTGGTGAGTTACTTATCACAGGTGATCTTAATTTCCATCTTGATGATCCCAACGACAAAGATGCTAGAACATTTACAGAGTTGCTAACAGAACATGGATTAAAGCAGCATATTTCCGATGCAACACATCGTCTTGGTCATACGTTAGATGTGTTGATAACCAGAGAAGATAGTTCTATATTACAGGGAACGCCATTTGTAGCAGATCCTGGTATATGTGACAACAATGGAAACAGAAGTGGTGACCACCTCGCAATTCGCACTTTACTGCGTCTGTCCAAAGCTCCGAGAGAGAGAAGAACGGTAACCTTTCGGAAAATTCATGACATCAACATAGAGAATTTCAGAAACGATCTTGATTTTTCAAACGTGACTTACAAGGAAGCATCTGTTGAAAAGCTTATCATTCACTACAATAGAGTTCTTACTGCTACCATCGATGTTCATGCCCCTCTGAAATCAAAGGAGATTGTTATACGACCGAATACTCCTTGGTTTACGGATGATCTTTATTCTGCTAAGAGAGATCGCCGAAGGGCTGAACGAACTATGAGACGAACAAACCTAGCAGTCCACAAGGACATTTTCAATCAGAAATGTATGCAGGTTACAAAACTCATACAACACTGTAAAAGTCAGTTTTATATAAACAAAATTCAGGAAATTGGCAGCGACTCGAAACAGCTTTTTAAACTTACCAACAATCTCATGGGAAACACAAATTTATCAGTCCTGCCAGAGCATGACAGCGAAATCGATCTCGCATCCAAATTTGGTGAATTTTTTATCGGTAAAATTCAGAAAATCAGAGAAAAGCTTTGCTCCTTGACCAAGTCTCCTACTATGGAAGTTGTCCTTCGAGCTGACATCAAGTTTGATGGCATTCCTCTGGAAGCGTTTGAACCAGTGTCGATTGCTGAGGTATGTGACATTATCGGCGATGCACCAACGAAGTCGTGCGAGTTAGATCCAATACCCACAAATGTTTTGAAACAATGTTTGGAGAGTCTTTTACCAATCATCACTGAAATTATCAACAAATCCTTCTCAGAAGCGTCAGTACCATTGGATTTCAAAAAGGCCATAGTACGTCCCTTGATTAAGCGTCAAGGACTTGACAAAGATGAATTCAAAAATTACAGACCTGTTTCAAATTTGCCTTTTTTATCTAAAGTATTAGAAAAAGCGGTGGCATCTCGACTCGAAAAACACCTAAACGCTTACCAGCTTCATGATAACGTGCAGTCGGCCTACCGAAGTAGTCACTCTACAGAAACTGCCCTGCTACGGGTGCACCATGATATTACCTCTGCACTGGATAAGAATTCATGCGTTGCTCTCGTAATGCTAGATCTCTCGGCTGCATTCGATGTGATTGATCATGATATACTAATCAGTCGCATCGAATACGCGTTTGGTATCACAGGATCGGCGCTTTCATGGATAAAGTCTTATTTATCTGGTCGAAGTCAACAAATTGCTGTAGGTTCGACATTCTCGAGAGAGTTCTTACTCCAGTTTGGTGTACCACAAGGGTCTGTTTTAGGACCTCGTCTATATTGTATGTTCTCCAAACCCATCGGAGAAATTTGCCGGAGACATAACATGTATTACCATTGTTATGCTGATGACACACAGGTTTACCTGATTATTAACCCGAAGGACAGTTGGGACGACATTGCGAATAGACTTGAACGGTGTCTGTCTGATATACAAGACTGGATGCAAAACAACATCCTTAAGTTAAACCAGGATAAGACTGAACTCATCATCTTTACACCGAAACGTATGGCAAATGAATTTACAGGACGTAAACTCGCTTTTGGTGGATCAGTCATCAGTAATGCTTCCTGTGTTAAAAATCTCGGGGTATTTTTCGACAGCAAATTAAGCATGGACTGTCAAATCAATTCGGTTACAAGATCCTGTTATTTCCATCTTCGTAACATCGGTAGAATAAGATCACTCATAACAGAGGATGCTTGCAGGACACTTGTTAGATCTTTAGTGACATCTAGACTTGATTATGGCAATGCACTATTGTTTGGCCTCAATGCCACATCCTTGCAAAAGTTGCAGAAAGTTCAGAACACTGCAGCCAGACTGGTGACACGTTTGAGAAAACATGAACATATAACACCAATTCTCATAACTCTTCACTGGCTACCTGTGGCATACCGTGCACAATATAAAATTCTGTTGTACACTTTCAAGGCCTTACAGAAGCTAGCCCCGAAATACATCCAGGAACTTGTTCAGTTTTATCGCCCACAACGTTCACTACGGTCTGCGGATTCACTGAGCCTTGTTAAACCACGCACTCGAAGTAAGATGTATGGAGATAGAAGGTTTGATGTATCTTCAGCCACCCTGTGGAACTGCCTCCCGCTGGATCTTAGGAAAGAACAGTCACTTGAAGTTTTTAAAAGAAATCTAAAAACACATCTTTTTAGACTCGCCTTTAGTTTATAAGGCTCTAGTCACAATGGAGCATCCAGTTGGTTTTATTTTATTAAAAAAAAAAAAAAAAAAAAAATGCCCTATGATTTTACCTTTTTGCTATTTTATATTGTACCCGTCCTTTGTTTTATATTGTAATTGTTTTCTACGTGTAAAGCGCTTTAGAGTAATTCCATAATTATATAGGGCGCTATATAAAAGTAGAATAATAATAATAATAATAATCTCTTACTAATTAAAAGGAAGTGGAAAACTGACACAACTCATTCAATGTTTCTAAGATGTCACTTTAGTTTGTTCCTCTACAGATGAATTGGAAACTTTTAGTCTCAAAATTGGGAAAGTTGAAATGTTTGGGCATTGGAGGGGGGTTGTTGTTTTATTTCAGGTGTTGATTATTACTAGTCTAAAACAATAACACAAGCTTCTACACATTAACTACTTATGTACACAGCAAGTGTTCAGTTCTCCCATATGCTGTTCTGTACTTGGTTGGTTTAATAGCAATCAAATTCTTATGAATATACAGTGCATACAATATTAATACATTTATACATCTGCTCGTATAGACAGCTGCAGATGCAAGGAGTCCTGTTTTACTATGAAACAACTTCTAGATCTATTGTTAACAATTATATATATATATGTGGGTATTTCTTCCTTAACTTTTACAACTCTCACAGTAATTTAGCAACGTATGTGTGGAATTAAATGTCTGGCCTATCCCTACTGTATGTGTCTACACAGTGATGGTCTCGACACAGTGATGTAATGGAATACAATTGTGTGACTGTGCATTCAGAATGTATAAATTTAAAAAAGTAATGTCATCTCTATCTCGAAACTTTAATCTGCCAGGTTGCATATTTTTCCATTCATACTTCACAGTAAACATTCCTTAACATGGTAAAGGAAACTTGGTGTGCATCAATAATCTGTTAAGAGTTGAATATTTTTAGTCAGTGGACCAACGCAAACCACTTCATTCCACCATGTTCCACAGTGCCATTTTAAAATATATCATGTTATCATTGTGAACTACCAAATGCAAATGTCACACATCTAAGTTCTAACATTCTATAGTGAGTCACGTCAAAAATGCATTTTGTTGATTTGACTCAATTAGTAAATCGGAGTACATGGTATTTCATGCTTAAAGACCTCATCATCTTTATAAGAATATTTAGGTTCTTTATACTATATACCAAAATAACCTAAAAGCTTACAGTTATACAAAAACACTTCCATGCAGGAAGGTAAAATTTCCTGGTGAGATTTTTTTCGTACACAGAGTTGTTTAACAATTGTACAGCTCTTCACATATTTATCTCAGCATTTTATTGGACTACCATTATAAAATTGAAAACGAGAATGACTGTACTGGATGCTAGAGCTCTACCGAAAAACTCTCCATTCTAATAGATGTCGATAGAAGGGGCGATCATATCTTAAAACTGTATTAAAAAAAAGCTTTTCAGAAAATATTATGCAATTTACATGATTAAAAGGGGGGATTCTGACCTAATTTTCCCAAAAGGAAAAAGTTACTTTTCACCAGTAGTTAAAACAACATTGCAATCTCTCTACATCTCTAGCTCTCTCTCTATAAAATGAATACTGGCTGCATTTCGGAGTTTACAAAGTCTACTGTAATGTGGAATTACATAACATTGAATGGATAGGGTTGTGCATACATCAACATGTATACTGTATGTTTGATATCTTCCACTAATAATAATGAATTTTCTCTTTTGATGATCAAGAAATTCATTTGCATTAAGACAAATCTTAGGCATGTTACCGTAATATAAATTAAATAGTCAACCACTTTTTACAACAACAAAAATGCTTTGAGTTGTTGCAAATGCAGATCTGCAAAAAGTGTGAAGTATACTTTCATTAAGAAAAAATTTCTTCATGTTTTAACTGTTTACTTTGAATGGCTCTAGGTTCTATCCTCACCATGGGGCTGACATATACTTACTAAGTGCTGGTTGAAACGAGTTTGATATGGGGAATAATCAATGGGATTTATCAAGATTAGTACACATAGCTGAGAATTGATTAGACAACTGAAATGGGTCTGATATAAAGGATACGTTAACTACATGAACTAGCAGACAGTAAACTTACATAATTGGACAACTGAAATGGGTCTGATATAAAGATATATATTAACATGATTAACTCTGGGATATATTAAACTTACGTGACTGAACCACTGTGTGGTATTCTGGACAGTGAACAAAGATCACATGATCCCCCTTGTGGTACGCATTCTTCATGTACCCTACAAAACACAAGTCATACGTTATCACATATCATCATGATCATATCAATTAAATTGTAATATTTACATTTGCTGTGTTTTTCTATTAAGCCAACTGTGAAATTGAAAAATGCACAAATGAAGGTCACGAGGAGGAAGTGTTTTGTATTTGGTGTGATTTTATCTTTTTAATCCTGCTGGAATAATCAACATGGATCAATGAATGTGACCAGGCACTCAAAACCAACACCAACCACAATCTCGCTATTTTCCCATTCATCTTCTAATAATATCTTCATTGATTTTGTGGCTGATGGTTGCAGGGATTTTACATTTTATAATGAGCCAATGTTCAATTAAAAAAAATCAATAGGTTTGATTCCAGTTATCAACAATTCTTAAGGAAAAACACAATGTGGTTAAAACCTATACATAGCTCTCTACATCCATTTGCAATGTTCATCCCCCCTGGCCCACCCCCAGGGTGGGGTTTAGTTCAAAAATGCTTTAGGGTGCAGATCAAACATACTCAAGAAATCGATAAGATTATATACTTGTATTTTTTAACAGCGCGACAATAATCATGATAATGTCTGTAAACTCTGCATCATATGTTCCGTTAGAAAGTTTTTCTGTCATCCCCACTCTGTACACATCACCCCCTCCAGAGGTTACCCACCGCGGGGATAAGGAGAGAGGAATGACCAAATAATTCGATTTCGTTCACGGACTGAGAAATAAAATTTTCTCACAATCATTCTCCCGGTGTGATGGTCGTAAATAATTGAGGACGGAGAGCCAGCACACGATTATCACGACTAAACTATGCTTACAGAGAAATGGGTCAATAACTTTAAAATCTGGATAACCAAGGGTTGGAATTTATATGCACGTATGCAGCTCTCCACTATTCACGGTCACGCATGACCTATTTCATAACGAAAGTTAACCTTTCAGTGTCGCTAATATTTAACGATAAACTTCTAATACCATATACCATTTATACATATATTTCAATATTCTAAAGTTAAAACTGTAGATACAGCTAGGCCCTAGGTACAATGATTTGGTTGTATCGACCAACCACGCACATTCAGTCAAGTGCATGTTGGGTGCGAATAAGACAACATTTACACAAATAAAGCACTTACAGTCAAAGGCGAAATCGGAATTCTCACTTCCGTCCATCGCTACTACTACTGTCCTCTCTGATTCCGCCATAATTTCGGTTGTTTCTAAAGACGAAGAAAAAGTTGTTGGCCTAAAACCGGCTTGATTCGACGTTGGCGAGGTTGTTCGATATACTGCTCTGTTGGAAGCTTCTCGAAATGTTCCGAATACAGACCGCCAGATGTAATCCGAATGGAGTACAAAGGTAAAGTGAGGTCATTTCACACCACGGAATATTTAGGTCTTTGCCTTTCAAGTTTGATAAATAAAATCAATTTGAAATACATTATTAATCAATAATCTACCGTTAATTTTTATACTTAATATTTTCAAATTTATCTTTTTTTAAGATGAGTATTTTATTTGTTACAGCATGTACAGATTGCTATTTTACCCGGGAGGTTGGAACCCCCCCCCCCTCTTTCCATTGTCATATTCTCGGTGGGTAAGGCTTGACCCAATCCCTTGTCTTGATCATACTGTCAGAAAATAATTCATCCGCACCTGAACCTCGTGATGCAGTAAATCTTATCAAATGTTTTAGAGAATTTTTGCAAAGCTCTGACAATATATTGATAAGATTAGATCTATATATTATAATTTTGACTTTATACTGAGACCAATTGATTTAATGAAAGTGTACATGTACCTATTTTGAGATGGGGTAAACAAAAATCACATTTCTAGTTTACAGAATGATCCATGATGATGTGCAATAATTTTATCATATACATATAATCCTATTAAAATTACCTAAGTGGGACCATTATTAAATTATAAATAGGGACTTTATTATGATGTGGCTCTTTTCACAAATTAAAAAAAAAATCTTCCGACTAAGATAAAGAGTTGACAACTATGTATTTCTTTTAATGAATACATTTAATTTCTTCCGATGAATATTTTACAATATTATCAAATATAATGGAAATAGAAGACTTTTTGTCCTGTTACGCACAGCCTATATATACTTCTGAAGAAAAAGAAACTGAAGTCGAAAGATTTTTTTGTGAAAAATGCTACAGCTAGTTTCCACTACACTGTGTGAATGATATGGATAATTATAGTCCATAGGCGTCGGAACCAGGGGGGGGGGGGGGGGTCTTAGCCCCCAACCCCACTTTTTTTGCAAAGATAGACACGATAAAGATAAGGGCGTAGGTTTATAGCCTCCCCCTTTTTTACCAACACTCACAGAATTTGAATTCTAATTTTAAGAAGGTCAAGTGATGGGTTTTTTTCAGGTTTTATTTTTTTTTTCTCTTTCAATTAGCCCTCCCCCCCCCCCCTTCATTTTACTTCCGACGCCAAATTATTAATAATGTTGTAAATCAAGGGTACAAACCTTTTATTCCGAAGAAAACAAAATGTTCTATAAATATGGAAAACGAAATTAATATACTGATGAACAGAAATCGATGTAATAGGGTATAGCGATACATGGATTAGGGATACAAAAGTTTACTTTAATATTAAGTAAAATACCCGGGATTTTCAGTGCCCAGGCAGTGGCGGATGAAAGAAAGGAGGGGGGGGGGGGCTAAACTCATAGTTTTGTCGAGAAAAAAATGTCTTATCGGTATTCCTTATTTTTACCTTACAATCTCTGAATTCCAGGATAAGAGAATCACTTCCGAGAAGCATTAAACAAAGGGTATCAGTTCAGTGCTTACAAAAGCAAAATGTAAGGTTTCGTTTTTCATAAAAACCGAAAATTTATCAAGTTGTTTTTGATGATTTTAAAAGCTGTGGATGCATGCACTCGATCATGCAGATAAAAGAGAACACAGAGATATAGATTAGTAAATAGCTTAATTGTTGAGACAGTGCATATTATCTTGTCAAAAAAAAAGAAAGACGTACTTTCTCTTTACCCACGGATGATCGAGATATTCTGCAAAGCTTTGTGTAGCGATCTAGTTGCATGGATCTAATTTTAATTATAAGATTGAGAGATTTCGTATAAAAGTACAACACAGAGAAGATTATAATGAAGATGAATTTCAATTTCTGCTGTTCTACTTCTTCCTATACTGGTACAGTACAGGGTCTTATAGACGTCATCTCACTTTACAAAATTTACTTTCACATATTTAGCTGTCACAAAACAACTATAATAAAAGGTTAACTTTTCAGAAAATAAGAAAAAATAAGATTTTTCCCTAGGAAAAACATCACATTTTTATGATACATTTGTATACTTTACTTCAATAGCCACTGGGCAGAAATACTGAAAATAACAAAGTTAACTCATTTATTTATTTTTTTTTAAATTGCCATATATTTCGAAATAATTTCATAATTTTTGTACAAATGATTATACGATTAATATGCATAACCTTACATTCTAGAATATTGCATAAAGGATGACTGCACTTAAGGAAACTTAGAAATTGCGACATAATCAATTTTAAAAATGGGCATTTTTCTTTTTAAGGTAGACATGGTAAATGTCTTAACTGCAACTTTGTGTAATTACGTTAATTAAAAGTTCGTATTAACAAAGTTCGAAGTCGTTTTTATAGGGAGGGGTCATCGCATATTCTGGAATCTCCATAGGATAATGAGTACGCCCACCTTTTTACAGGCTTCATGCATAGTCAGCGCATGTTTGTCTATTGTTCTCCTTTTTATGGTAGTTGTATATTTACATATATTACCTCATATTAAAAGGAGATCAATAGACAAACATGCGCTCATGGTTAAAAAGAAAAAAAACTGTTCTCGTGTGTTCACTTTCTCTATAGTTAACAGGTCATTTTGACCACGTTGTTACCTGTTGAATATTATAATTAACCACGTGATTTCTATACCCAGGTAGCTCTGTGAATACTAAGGGTATATTCGATTAAGCGACACGGGTTACACGAGTCACTAGAGTTGTAAATAAAACAACCTATCTTCGACACGGGTGATCAACCCGTGTTACGCGAGTATACTCCTCAGTTTACCTGGAGTAACAGGTAAAAAAAATGGCGGGAGGTGAAGTCGCATTGTTAATGCGAAAACTGTTTCTGCATAAATATGTCAGTGTTTGTATTAGAAATTTACAACGTCAATGAAAAAAGTCTGCAATATAATTTTGACACCCCCTTTTTATTTTTTTTTTAGTTTTAGGTCAACGTCTTAAAATTACTGTTGTTTTAATTGACAGTTTTTTAAAAATATTTTTTTTAAATAAAGAAATTAATCCAGCCTTTTTTTTGTCTGCCTATAATTATTGCCCGAACCTCTAGATCCTGTTTTACAAATGAACTTACGACTAAAACCAAAAACTTATGTTGATTATAAATTTTTGAAAATTAACTGTTTTGGAAATTGTTACCATTAAACATTCTAAATTCTTTTCAAGAAGAATAAAATCGCAAATAATTTTTGGACTTTGTGATATGCACCTAAACACCGGTCTTAAGACCTCCGAATCACAATACATATTACCCCCCCCCCCAAAAAAAAAGGAAAGGAAAGGAAAAATTGTGATATACTAGTACTGCGCGGGGTATATCGATAAAATCACATATCCTTTGTAATAGATTTATTTTTATTTATTATTTATTTTGAATTCTTATTACTTTTTAGTTTATTTATGTTTGCTTGTCAAAAAATTCTGAGACTTAACATCTGTGATATTTAATGCCCCCCCCCCCCCTTTGAAAAAAAAATATTGGATTTCTGCGCTTACATTATCCCCTATAACTTTTTAAAAATTAATTTAGGTCCTCACTAACAAATTAATACTATTAATACTAATTCATTCCTACTATAGCTATATATTTTTGTCCCTGCACAAAGCCGTACTAAGGAATTGGCAAGGTTTGATTTTTTTTTTATTATTTCTGATGCCATGGGAACAGGGGTCCATAGCAACTAATGAAATAATCACCGGTTTCAGTTTGCAGACGCATTCCTGCATGACTGTCAAAAAATTTAAGATCATATTCCTGGCAAAACTATTTTTATGCATAAATAGAATGTCTGATCAAAAGGAGATTTATTCGCATTTTCGAACAAATATTGGGTTTTTTGATAATCGAAAAAAAAGATGTTTGGACAAATATATTTTTCTAGAGTTTTGATATATCAAAAGGCATATTATAAATAACAAAATTCCACTGGAATCATTTCTGTTGCAATTTGTTTGAAGTTTGGGTGTTTTTGAGTTAGATTGACTGGATTAACTGAAATTGCTCTCACATTTGATCCTGTATAATTATCTTTAAACTGAATTATTAATAATAATCATTTAACTTCATAAGGTAATAACATGACATATCTATGTTGCGATTGTTAAATCTATAAAAATAATTTTAGTAAATCAATATGCATCTAATTGACAATTTTAAAATCAGGGGGCCCGTTTTACAAAAGAACTTACACCTAAGACCAAAATTAATTCTGCGATTTTATTCTCCTTACAGTGAAATCTTAGAAATATGGAGGTCGGGTCCCCAGAACCAACTGGTTCTTTTTTTACAATAAATGTTATAAGTATATAGAAATACCTTTTCAGCCTTTAATTACTATCGTAATGATCATTGAACATTTTCACGCGTTTAGTTGAAATATTGAACATTATTTTTACAGACTCAAAATTAAAATCCACAGCCATGTAAGACCATGAAAAACACATTAGCTTAAGTTTTCTTTCCAACCGACGTCACATTTTATGTAAAAGTATTTGTCTCTCACATCCTATGACTTGCACTTTATAAATGAAAAATGTCAGCTATGGTACTTTTCTGACCAATTATTGTGCCCCGTGTAAAATGTTACTGGGGGGGGGGGGGGGGGGTTGGCGGGATAGATAGAGAATACAAGCACGTAGCAGCTGGTGGAAGCGCTTCCCACACTTCTTTTTCCAAACATCTCTTTACGTTTAAAAAATCTTCATTGAAAGACCACCGATAGCTTCCTCCCTCTTTTTGTTACAGTAAAGCCAATCAAGGGTCAAGTCGTATTGTATGAATAGCATTTGGTACTGAAGGAAGTGGGCATTACATCCCCTTCCTCCAAGTAAATAGGAGTTTCGTTTTCTTTCTCTGGCTTGCCCCCCCCCCCTTTCAAACATGATGGCACGTCACTATTATATTTAATACTATTGACATGTATGTATGTGAAGACATTCTTATTCTACTTTTTAGCT